CAGTGACAATATTGGGGAGATTTGCCCTCACTTCCTGTCACCATACAAGAAACGGGGTGTGGTCATCACCAGGACAGAAAGGAACCTACTGCTAAAAAAAAAAAACATTGTCAGAGGGTCTAACCCAGGGATGGCCAAACTCCGGCCCTCCAGCTGAGGGTGAAACTACAAATCCCATGAAGCATCTCTCTCCGGGAGTCATGTCTGTGGCTGTGAGAATCTTGCAAAGCCTCATGGGATTCGTAGTTCCACCGCAGCTGGAGGGCTGCAGTTTGGCTATCCCTGGTCTAACCCATCACCACTCTATTAAAATGTGTTCCTCTGCTTGTGTCCTTGATAATTTCCATGACTTCCTGTCCTGACAGGAAGGAGAAACCAAAAGAACCCAACAGTAGCTCTAATCCTCCTCCACTCTATCCAAAAAAAAAAAAAAAAGGTTTTGGCTGGAGTGGAGTATTAATCTGGCTCATATACATAAAACTTGGCCAAGCGGCTGCCTGTGAAAACTGTTGGACACGACACGGAAATAGGGAACATCAAGGTGCCATGTACAGATTTCACTCCTATGGACAGGCAGCACACTCCGGTATCGTCAGCTGTGATGACCCCCATCCTACATTACTCACTATACAGTTATGTACTTCCCGTTATCCAAACACGAGCAGGAATCTTCGGGGAAGGTCTCTGGAATCTTCGGGGAAGGTCTCTGGACAGGAGTCAGAACCGCGATTTGTTTGCTGAACATTTCTTGAAAAATTTGTAGAGGCAGGGGTCACAACGGGCTGCAACATTCCAGCAACAAACCATCTCTGTATGTAGCCGTATTGGTGCGTTATGGCAACGCCACAAGGGGACATCTGTCTGGGATACTTTAGATTTGCACAATGGTTACATATTCAGCACAAACTTTCGGAGGTCCAACTCCTTCTAAAGCCCCAGCAGAACTGATACACCGTATTCAGAGATTGTGGTCCTGCAGATTTCTTTGTGTATCAATACTGCTGGGACCCGAGAAGAAGGGGGGTAGACCCCCGGAGAACTTCTCCTGAACATTTAACCTCCAATGCAAATCAGGGAAGCGTCACGGACAATACTCTACGTCGTTATAACTCTACGAGGATTCACTTCCTCCTCCGATGACACCGAGCGGTCAATGACCCCCTACAATGGTTGCTGCTGAGAAAACTAGAGGACATTTCTTCCACGGGGTTAAACCTTAAAAATAAGAGTCTGGAGATATGCCTGATGTGAAATCCCCCCGGAGTGCGATACTACAGAGATCTTCCTGGTATTTACAGAGGAGGAACCCTCTGCAGCCGTCCAACTCCAAACTCACTTATCTTACACAAACACTTAAGCAGATGTAGAAATACGGGGGACGCGCCCGGAGACCGCAACATTTTTGTTTTAATCAGAAACATTTTCCCGTCACCAATCTGCCCGTATGAGAAGTCAGGAGAAGTCATTCTCTGACTCTGAGGCTCCAGCCGTGACAGGACCTACAATGAGAGGATCCTCAAGGACCAGCCGTGACAGGACCCTCAAGGTCCAGCCGTGACAGGACCTACAATGAGAGGATCCTCAAGGACCAGCCGTGACAGGACCCTCAAGGTCCAGCCGTGACAGGACCTACAATGAGAGGATCCTCAAGGACCAGCCGTGACAGGACCCTCAAGGTCCAGCCGTGACAGGACCTACAATGAGAGGACCCTCAAGGACCAGCCATGACCCTCAAGGACCAGCCGTGACAGGACCCTCAAGGTCCAGCCGTGACAGGACCTACAATGAGAGGACCCTCAAGGACCAGCCATGACCCTCAAGGACCAGCCGTGACAGGACCCTCAAGGTCCAGCCGTGACAGGACCTACAATGAGAGGACCCTCAAGGACCAGCCATGACCCTCAAGGACCAGCCGTGACAGGACTCACCATGACATGACCCTCAAGGACCAGCCATGAGAGGGCCTACAATGAGAGGACCCTCAAGGACACGCCGTGACAGGACCTGCCATGAGAGGCCCTACAATGAGAAGACCTGCCATGGATTGACCACTAGTGGCAATGTACACACAACTGGTGAACAACATCACATCCAGTGGTCACCAATCACATTCTTCCCCGTGATGGTGATATTTCTGCAATGACCGCAGCCAGCTCTGCTAGTAACAAAACTCTGTGACCACAACGAACAAACCCCCAATTTTAGAACTGGCGCAGAGACATTATCGGTTCATTAGAAGACAACTGCACTTCCTACTGTATGTGGAGACAGATGGAGGATTTACAAGCGGCCGGCCATCTGGCCCCCTATCCAGTGCACGCGGACTATTCTGAAGCCGAGTATGTTATATATAGTAGCACGGAAGACGCATTAAAGCAGAACTCAGGAGCCGGCTAGTCCGATGTGGGGACCAAAAGACACATAAAATCGGGCCCCCTGTGTAAATGTTATCACATTAAAAAGACACGGATATGGTTTCCTAGTTATATATACACATTGTGCTCTCCATTCTCCTCCTTAGCTCAGTCCCATAACCATTCGTATTCTCTCCCCATGTGGCTTATCCTGCAGCTGTTTTACTCTCAGCAGTAGGGTCTGACTGAACTGCCTGTGTACACTTTCCCCTAGAGGGAGAACCTTCTAATTTGAACCTGAAATAATCTTGCAAATATGAACAAGTAACCGGCAGAGTCATCATTTTTACTACCCAAAATGTTCTCATTTCAATCTCTTTACCACCGACATGCGGTCACGTGCTGAATAGAAGGGCACAGGCCATCCCCAGGCTGTCAGGCCGTGCTGAGACGTTTAGTCCTCCAGCAGGCACTCTCTACTGCTGGCCTATAGAAGCTCTCTGCTTGCAGTCATCGGCGGCCTTGCACGTCTCAAGATTTTTGGCACACCGTCCCCTCTGCACCAGAGCAGATTACCAGAATAAGAGAAGTGACTTGTCCCTGACGCAAGGCCTGGTCTGTGACTCAGGATCGGGAGGCCCCCGGCCTCGTCCATCCTGACATGACATTCCCCCCCCCCCTCTGCAGGAATCACAGGGAGATTCACCACATCATGCACAGCACAAGCACACTCCAATAATGACATCAGACATGACAACATCCGCAGGTTACCCGGGATCCTCTGTCATTGAGGATGCTGCGGAGGGGGAGGGGTGACTGGTACCCCGGTATGGTGTGTTTACAAACAATTCAGGGGGAGCAGGAAGAAGGGGGTCCGGAAGAGACAGGATGGAAGATGGGGCTGGATTTTAGGAAGGGGAATAAGCAGAGATGCTGCATGTGAGATAACCGAGGCTGCAGGTCTATACGGATGAGAATACACAGGGCCACACCATGCAGAGCCCGGGGGGAGTGGCACAGGGGAGCCGCAGGATCCAGAGCAGTGGGCATGCAGACTCTGGAGCAATGGGCACACAGGGGCAGGTGAAGAAGTAGTGGGCACAGCAGGTATAGAAAGGTTAGTAGGGGGCACAGGAATGGGACACACCGGGCATAGAAGGGTAAGTGGGGGGAACACAGGGTAATAGTGGGCACACAGGGTGTAGAAGGGTTAGTAGGGGGGCATAGAGTAATATTGGGCACCAGCAGGTGTAGAAGGGTTAGTAGGGGGCAAATGGGATGTAGAAGGGTTAGTAATGGGCACACGTGGTAATATTGGGCACCAGCAGTTGCAGAAGGATTAGTAGGGGGGTAATAGTGGGCACAGAAGGGGTAGTAGGTGGCTAAGTGGGTGTAGAAGGGTCAGTAATGGGCACACAGGGTAATAGTGGGCACCAGCAGGGCAGACTTACTTCCTCCGGTACTCGTCCCTCTCTCTCTTGACTTTGGCCAGCACGTTGTAGAGGGCTCGGAGCTCCGGGGTGATGGTGTCTATCTGCACCCCGACCCCATCCGGATGATTCCAGGATACCCCGGGCCCCTGCACGGTCTCCAGTCCGCCCCCCGTGCGCCGTACATGGGTATAGCTCCAGATGGTACCAGGCAGGCGGCTGTAGGGGGTGAGGTTGGCATTGGCTTTGGGGGGTTCGGAGTCAGTCTGTACGGCTTGGTCCCGGTGGTAGATCTTGTACCTCAGGCGGCGGTCCTGCTGGTACTGGCTGTGCTGCTCTTGCAGCTGCTTCTCCAGCAGCCGGTTCCGCCGCTCCAGTTCGTGCACTTTGGCCAGGAAGCAGCGGAACCGAACATTCAGAGTCTTCAACACGTGGATGTTGGAGCCCAAATCATTGCGGAGGGCCATCGTGACGCCGCTGCCCGGGGGGGGTCCGGTACCCGGGGGAGAGTCCAACTCCCGCATCATGTCCCCGAAGAGGACGGAATTCATCATCCTGCCGCTCATCTTCTGTCGGCTCTATGCGGCATAAGGCACATCCATGGCTACCACCGGCCGACGCAGATCACAGCTATGTACAGTACCACGCCCACCCCATGCCGACCACGCCCTATAGCGCACCACCACCCCGCCCATCCCCGGGTGACATCAGCTGCTGGGCATCACCGGAGAGGAGGAGCGAGCCAGGGGGGTGTCCCACGGTGCCCTGTGCGCGTTCTAGCATCGGTCCCCCTATATACAATGTCACATCTGAACTCTATATGGATCATATACATTGTAACAATTATCACATGGACTCATATCATCGCTCCCCCTGTATACATTGTGACAACACTCAGTGCTAGGCATTCATTGTATACATTGTAACACTGATCCTGGACATGGACTGTCACATCACCTGTCCCCCTGTATACAATGTGTCACATCATCGGTACCCCCTATGTACACACTATCACCCATGTCCCCCTGTATACATTGCGACATCAATCCAAGGCATGGACTGTCACATCATCGCTCCCCCTATATACACACATTGTCACATATGTCTCCCACCCTGTATACATACAATGTAACCTCTGTCCCCTATATATACACACACGCTCACATCATCAGTCCCCTGTATACAATGTGTCACATCTGAACTCTACATGGATTATATACATTGTAACACTGATCACATGGACTCATATCATCGCTCCCCCTGTATACATTGTGACAACACTCAGTGCTAGGCATTCATTGTATACATTGTAACACTGATCCTGGACATGGACTGTCACATCATCGCTCCCCCTGTATACATTGTGACAATGATCACATGGACTGTCACATCATCGCTCCCCCTCTATACATTGTGACAACACACACACACCCAGTGCTGGGCATTCATTGTATACATTGTAATACCGATCTTCTATAGAAATTGTATCATCTGTCCTCTAAAAGTATACACAATGTATGCAATCCATGCCCAGTGTAGATGTAATAGGTATACAGTCCATGTATATGGCAGGTGTGGGGCATATACACTATATATATATATATAAAAAGTATACATTTGATGCATATATAAATCATACAATCTGTCCTCAGCCTGGACAGTATATATAGTATATAGGGGACAGATGATGTGAGCACGCGCGTATATACATTTAATATATTCAGTATGTGCACTTTGTTTCTGAGAGCTAGAGCTATCTATCTAATATCTATCTCTCTACTCTATATCCTGCCATAGAAGGTGCCATCTGAGGGGTCATTGGCAGCACTTCAAGGTTCTCGCAGATCACAAATCATCAATAATCTCCTTCTGACTCCAGAATATCACTCGGCATACAAGTGACACAGATCAGGAAGGAGCCGCGCTCTGTAGCCGTGCCATGTTCCGGGTGGAGTGCCACCCAATCACTGAGCTTCCCCCACCCTTCGCTCTAGGATGGTATTCAGTGCCCGCTGAGGAACCAATTAATCATCCAACTTCCTTCATTTGTAATAAACATTTCCTCATCACTTATCATCAAGGCCGCGCCAAGGGAAGCCCACAAGGCCGCGCCAAGGGAAGCCCACAAGGCCGCGCCAAGGGAAGCCCACAAGGCCGCGCCAAGGGTAGCCCACAAGGCCGCTCCAAGGGAAGCCCACAAGGCCGCTCCAAGGGAAGCCCACAAGGCCGCGCCAAGGGTAGCCCACAAGGCCGCGCCAAGGGTAGCCCACAAGGCCGCGCCAAGGGAAGCCCACAAGGCCGCACAAAGGGAAACTGCAGCAAGAGATTCTGCAAGTTCACAACTGACGCCTGTCTGTAGGTGTGACAGGGCTGGTTCAATCCACTGGAGATACTTCCCATCACTTCCTGTTTTGGTGACCCCCCACAGGATGGTTGAACAATCTACTCAACAGAACTCCCAGTTGAAGAGATCAACCTTACTTCTTGAGATCACCGAAGTGAATGGGAATCCGTCCAGTGGGGTCACACACACACCAATACAGCCCCAAAATCGGCTCCAACCTTCTACCATAGGAAAAAAAATTCTAGAGAAAAAAGTATTGGCTGGATTCGGCCTGAACAATAAGAACCCATTACCCTAAAATACCCCAAATGTGGAAGACGTGTCACTTAGGCCTGCAACCGATTAATCGATAATAGTTGTCAACTATTCTCATTATAGATTAGTTGGTTCCCTTAGCTTTCTGCTCCATGCTGGGAGGAGGACACAGCAAGCAGTGGGTGGGTGAAATAGCCAGTTGGTTCGGGTCCGGGGCTCAGAGTTGGTTTGGGGCTCAGAGTTGGTTCGGGGGTCCGGGGCTCAGAGTTGGTTCAGCTCATCAGATTTCCGAGCACAAGCAGAAAAAGAAAAGAACTTTCCTGTCGCTGGTTGGTAAAGCCCAATTCGTGAGGAACATGGACTCTGGCGGTGGGCTGAATACAAAAAAAAAAAAAAAAAACCTTGCAAGAGGAAATAAAACTTTATATAATATTTTAACATCCACCCGAGGCACCTACATGGGGTGATGTCATCCACATCTCTGAGCGTTGGGTTGGGTTGGGCTCCTCAGCACTCCCAGAGATTTTGTCAGTCGGAGGATGAGGTCACCTCTGAAGTGAAAGGTCCACTTTAAAGGAAGATGATATGAACGGCACTTCAAGCCGACCTGATAAAGAGCAAACTATCATCAAGTGCTGGAAGCTGATTGGCCGACAGCGACACTCAACATTACCAGGACAAAAAGAGGACCTGTCACCACGAACACATTCCCGACACGTCACCATGTACAGCAACACGATGATTGTTCAGAAAACGTCCACCTTTACCTTCGTCCTTGATCTGCAGTCAGTGACTTTGCCTAGGCTGAGATGATGTCATCAGTCTGCTGCAGGCCAGGAGGAAGCATTTCCTCAGTCTCCTCTCCCCCAGTGATCAGACTGCTGCAGGCAGGAGGAAGCATTTCCTCAGTCTCCTCTCCCCCAGTGATCAGTCTGCTGTAGGAAGCATTTCCTCAGTCTCCCCTCCCCCAGTGATCAGTCTGCTGCAGGCAGGAGGAAGCATATCCTCAGTCTCCCCTCCCCCAGTGATCAGTCTGCTGCAGGCAGGAGGAAGCATATCCTCAGTCTCCCCTCCCCCCGTGATCAGTCTGTACATTGTAACAAGGCTGATCTGCCAAGAACTGCACAGGCACCAGGATTTCCATGACTGTGTCATCTATGGCATCTCAGTCCAGGGAGCAGAGGGTGACCCCAGAATGATGCCTGAACAAAGATGGCGCCGTCCTTCTGGGGATAGAAGCAGATGAAATCACATCCACGAGAGGTAACAAATCCCTGTAGGTATTACACTGACGCAATACTCAGCCTGTGGACTGAACATGAAATATATACTGTATGTGCTGCATTGAATTTCTCCGCTCACTTAATATTTCAGCAGGCCGGTTGTAACCGGACGCCGAGCGGCTCGCTCACACGCCGCCATTAGTTATTAAATTATTACTCAAATTTTAAGCGGCTCTTCAAAAAAAAGAATTGGGAGCCATTTTGGGGGCGTTTCTGGAGATCAGGACACTTGTGAGGTGACAACGTATCAGAGGCGGTTATTACGCGGCAATCAATCTGTCTGCAGGTAATAAAACATTCTCCCAGCCGCCGCGTTACTCAGCGCCGCTCACTCATCACCGTCTCCCTCTCTCTACAACTTTACTTCTGTCAGAAAACAAAACAACTCATTTAAATAAAAATTCCTCGACATCCACACAGGATAAAAATCCACCTTGTGCGCATCAAACGCCTTTCCAAACCCGGATATCGTCCCTGTTCATAGGTGATCTACCCCCTGCTCTGATGAGGTTTGCAGTGGGGGGCTGCGGGCAGCCGGGGCAGGAAGTAGAGGCTGCAGGTGGCCCGGGGCAGGAAGTAGAGGCTGAGGGTGGCCCGGGGCAGGAAGTAGAGGCTGAGGGTGGCCCGGGGCAGGAAGTAGATTAACTTTTTTGTTTTGCAACATTGTTTCCATCTACCAAAAAGTCAATCATCAGCCCCGGTCTTTGGGAATGTTACATACAGGAGGTCTGTGACTGATGTATCAGACCAGACAGGACTCTTCAGGATATACTGGAGCTTATTATATCTGCAAGTGAGAGCGGGAGTCGGCTGAGTTATGTTCATCCCACCAGAAGAGACAGCCCCCAGAAGGGACAGCCCACCAAGAACATCCCACCAGAAGAGAATGACATGAAGAACATTCTCCCCTGGAGCAATGATGGAATGTGCGGCCGGGTCGCCGGATGAATAGATTGGAGATTGTTTTTATGAATTGATCTCTCTGAAGAAATCACCGTCATCATCCCCACACAACTTCCATCATCAGATCCACCAACCACTCTCCTGTGTGCCGCTGATGGCTGCAGGTCCTTCCAGCAGGTGATCGGCATCCATCAGATCTGGTCGGGTGGAGGCGCCGGGCGCACCAACATTCTCCTCATTAATATTCGTAGATCATGTAAAGATTTTATCTGCCAGAAATAGACAACCGAGACGGAACGCCCCAAAACAGGTCAATTAACGCCGGATAATGATGAACTTCAATCCAAGGAGGAACCCGGAATCTGCGCCAGAGGGGAGAAGAGAAAGAAATCCCAAACACAATATCAATTCGTATTCCAAGTGTGAGCTACTAAGCCCATCATGCCTATGGGTGTCATGTCTGTGGCGGTCAGTCTTGCAATGCCTCATGGGACTTGTAGTTCCACCACAGGTGGAGTGCCGAGGTTGCCCGCCCCTGCTCTGTGGTGAAGGGGATGGCTGGCCATTGGATGCTCGGAGATTTATATATATCAGATGAGAGATACGAAGGAGATACACTATATTACCACAAGTATTGGGACGCCTTTACACGTACATGAACTCTAACGGCATCCCAGTCTTAGTCCGTAGGGTTCAGTATTGAGTTGGCTCCGCCCTTTGCCGCTATAACAGCTCCGCCTCTTCTGGAAAGGCGTCCACAAGGTTTAGGAGTGGGTCTATGGGAATGTTGGAC